AAGGAAAATAATGAAAGAGTGTCAAGCAAGGTGCAACATAATCTGATTGGGTTCTTATTTGATAAGTGCTCCTGGGTGGTGTAGAATAGATTTACTAGGAGGCAGGAGTAAAAACAGGCAGAGCAGTGAGGAGCTATTGCAGAAGACCAGGCAGGAGATGGTGTGGGCCTGGCCTACACCATCTCGGTGGGGGCAGCAGAGGTGAAAAGTGCTGGAAGGATTTGAGATGCATTGTGGAAGTAGAAATATGCTGATGATTTGGGTTTGGCCAGGGAGGGGGAAGGGAAAGACCAATGGTAATTTCCAGATTTCCAACTTGAAGCTGTGTGTATACTGGTCCCGTTATCTAAGATGGGGAGGATTGAAGGAAGGTAGTCATCTCCCATCCTCCAGCTGGCATTTCTCGAGCTTCCGAGAAAAAGGAAGAGAATCTGCATCATGGGTTCACCCGGACTTCAGGCTCAGCCTGACAGACGGGCACCCTCCTTCTGGCCACACTGTGAGACCATGTGGAATTCAAGATTGCCCGTGGGTCAATGGGGTTCTCTGTCCTGTTGATCCAGCTCCAGCCTGGGATCATTAGATCATAAGGTTTTTCTAAAAAATCAAAATTGACCAGAGGTAAAAAAAAAAAAAAAAAAAATCACTCCCCCCCCCCCCCCGCTGTATAACTGACTTGAGTGTGATGAAAATCATGCCAAAGACCAAGGTTTTCTTTTCCTTTTGCCCAACAGGGAACTTAGCTATCCATTTGTAGCTCAGCTGCTAACTGGGTAGGGTTTATGGTCTCCGTAATGGCATTCTGGCTTCTCTTTATTGCTTACCACAATTAAACATCTGTCCTTGTCTGCCCCATAGACCTGGAACCACCTGGCCGTGCCTGTCACTCCAGCCAGCTCTGATTAGAGCAAGGATAGACTGGGGATTCTCCTTTAAAACCCGACTCAGCCATTTGGGCTTCCTGAATTGGATCTTTGAACCAAGGGATATAAAGTAAATTTGCAGCTGACAGTTACAGTGGATGCTGTGGGTGCCGCCCGATCCCCTTAGCACAAATGAGCGCCCCCCCCTCAGCTGCCAGGCGTTGGCTGCTGAGGGCTCTCAGCTGAGTTTCTTTCTGCAAATTAACTCTTTACCAGAGTCGCCTGGCCCAAACTCACAGCCACGGGGATAGCCCACATCTGAAGACAGGATGATCCTAGGACACAGGCCCAGCCCCCGTGGCTCATGGGAGCCAAAATTCCTGGGTAAACCCTCCAAGGGCACCAACGTCACATAAGTCCAGGGTCCGCTCCCACAGTTTCCAATACGTCTCTATTGTGTTCCAGGGACCCCTCAAGTCATGCAACGCTTCGGCTGCCTCGGTGTGCTTTCTCCTAGAGCAGCGGGGTACAAACTGTGACCTCCTTTTTGTAAACGCAGTTTTACTGGAACATAGCCAAGACGTTACAATGCACATATGTGCACATGGTACATATGTACCATTGCCCGTTGGCATATGTATTCCCTGTGGCTGCTTTTGTGTTACAATGGCAGGACTGAGTGGTGACAACAGAAACTGGATGAAAACAGAAACTGGAACAGAAACAGGAAAAAAACTAAAATTTTTATTATGTGGCCCCTTCAGAAAAAGTGCGCTGACCCCTGTCCTAGAATGAGCAAATGAGATGAGGACTCCTAACCGAGAAGGTGGTCATTCCTTCTCTGGGCTGGAGATTAGCCTCATGGAGCACAAACTCTGAGGGTCTGGGGGCTCAGTAAGGGCCACCCCGTAAAAAGACTTTACTGATGTCAAGGCCCTTGTGTTTGCAAGGGACGTTCTCTGCGAGCCGCCGCACCCAGCACCTTACCTTTATACGCTCCCATACACCTCTCAGTAACGCAGTAAAGTAGGAACTATATTATTCCTATTTTGCAGGAGAGGAAACTGAGGCCCCAAGTTGCACAGCGGGGCAGTGGCCGAGCTGGGGCTCACTCCAGGTCTGTTTGGAGGCCGAGCTGCTGCTTTGGGGCTCTCTTCCCTGCAGCCTCCCGTACCGAAGGCCTAGCAGGAAGAAGACGGTTACGGCTCAAGGAACCCACATAAACATGAAACAGGTGGGTTGAGGCCCAAGCAGGGATGGCTGTATAAAAACACCCCTCACCCAGACCGTGGGGTTCGGCTGGGGCACAGTGGGGAAGACGCTCCTTGGCAGGGGGAAGCATCAGCTCCTGGAGGACCAGTGTCCCAAGGCCACCACCCGAGGCAGCACAGGGGCTCTCTCCAGAGGCATGTAACCCAACACATGAGAAAATGTCACCCAGAACTGAGCGAGCAGACTGACTTGATACTATCTGAACCCCCCTGCTTGGCATGAGGGCAAAAGGCTCTGTGTTTGAATTTAAATATCTGAAATGGCAGGTAGGTTTGGTCCAGCTCCCCGGATAAAGACGTATGACACGATAAACTAGCCCCTTTGTCCTCCTAAATTGAAAGGATTAAGTATCTTTTAGAGAATTCTTTGGGCCTACGCGCAGAAATGTATTCAATTCACCTTGTAGTGATAACGAAACTTTAGGGAAATAAGAGATGCTATGTGGGAGGCCTGAGATTATTACACAAAGAGCAAAACTGTTCACTTTTAGCTTGTAATACAGGGAAGATTACACATCAGGAAAATTAATCATATTCAAAAGATGAACAGCCGACTCACCCTGGCCACTTCCTGTTCACACAGGAAGGAAAGCTCCTGGTACATTTTCTGGGCATGTCTCTACAAAGTCAGAAGGTCACTCGTTCACGCAGGGCCGTGGAGGAAAAAAGAGGCGCGTAAGTCACGCGAGTGATTCAGCGATTGGACTTGCCTGAACTTTCCATTTCTCCTTTTTACCGACTGTGCACATGCTACAAAGGCTCCAAATCTGAATGTAAAAACAGCGAACTCCTCATGCACGTGGCCTCATGGGCCCTTGATCTGTGATCGGATAACCATCCACAGGGCCAGCACCGCACCAACAACCTACTTAGCCATCGTCGCCGCTGTTGCCATCTCTTAGTCTACAGAAACCTCTCACCGGCAAGGACTTCTGTCCCATCACCTCAGTTCATTCTTTTTCTCAGCTATCATGAACTAAAATGAACTTGTTTACCCTTTTCATTGTCCACCTATCACCTCCTCAACCAGAACAAGTGGTGCTTAACAGCAAGTTCATGTCTGACTCCTCCCATCCTGCATTGCCAACGCCTGGCTCCCAGCATGTCATTGGTGAATATTCAATGTCAATTAATGTCCTGTTCATAAATAAACTGAAGTTGTCTAAAAATTTCACAGATACTTTCATTATTCACATCCAGTTTTTTCTTTTCTTTCTTTTTATTGTTGTTCAGGGACACTTGTCTCCATTTTCCTGCCACCATGAAAAACCCTAAAGGCTCTACCAGTGTTTCTTTTCACGATGAGTTGCCTATGCTATCTTAGGTTTCCGACTCTCATTTTCATAAAGCGCTTACTCATTTAAGACATATTTATTGAACACCATACCATGGGCCTGGTCCGTGCCAGGCTTCTGTGCCAGGAATTCAATGGTGAGCAAAACAGAGTGTCTGCCCTCATGAGCTGTTGGTCTAGTTGGGGCGGCCGGGGAACAAATACTAATGAAATAGCAATACAGGTATGCAATCACGGCCTTGGGAAGTGCTACGAAGGAACAGTTCTTGCAAGACTTCTAAGGAAATAATGTTTGGGCTGAGATTTGAAAGATACGTAAACTAGCTGAGTTCACTAAGTGATCTTGCTGAAGAGTGATGAGCGTTAGCATTAAGAATAGAATTAGGGTTAGAGTAAAGATCAGGGTATGGATAGAATGAGGTTAGAGAAGAGCGTTCTGGAAAAAGTTCTAGCGTGTGCTATAGGGGTCAGGTGGAGGTTGCCCAAGGGGGAGTTGATGGCTGCCTAAAATAGGGTGGGGACAAAATAAGTGGGGAAAAGAAGACCAATCAAGGGTCATTTAGGATGTCAAGCTTGGTTTGTCTTTCAAGGGCCGTCTGGTGGGTGGGGCATTGCTCCTGGCCTTCTCCTGGCTGGGTTCTCATGGGGCCCTCCATGGCCAGCAAGCTGGCTTCCAAAGTTGGAAGTAGCCACTGGGCATCCGAGAGTATGTGCCAAATAGAGATTGTAGATGGGTGAGCAGGAGGCCCGGGCAGCCCCTGACTCAGTCAGCAGCAGGGCTTCAGAACCCAGATCTAGGACTCAGGGGGGAGGATTTCTGGAGCCTTTGCACAGATTACTGAGGGCCGTCACGTGTTTACAGGAGCTGAAGGCCATGCTTATTAATGAGATCGATGGTGTCCATGAGAACCCGTGTTTAATAGGTAACTGTTGCTTTACGTAGCCCTACCTACAACCAGTATAGCTAAATAAGGAATATAGGAAACAATTGGCCCCAAACATGAGCATCGTGGGTTTCTTTTCCCCTCTTGATCAAAGAAAGACTCCAATGAAAAGGGAAAAAAAAATAATTAAAAAGTAAAAACCTTATGTAATGAAATTTAAAAGAAAACTTTTGAAGCCAACAAGCAACTGTGGGCCATGCTTCAAAGGGCCCAGAATCAATGTTTGTCAATAGCAGTTTTGCATCCTTTAATTTAGCTTTCTTGAATAGAAAGCGTGATGTTCCTAGGAGCTCACCCATGCCTTAATTCTGTCAGAGATTTGACGAATCAGAACCCTCTTAACATTCTGTGTGACTCAGCAATGTCAGAGGCCTGCGGCAGAGGCCTCGCCGGACCTGGGGCTTTCATCCCGCAGCTCGGATGCTCAGTAGCCATCGGCTCTCCTGCACTGAGCACTGGGCAGCCCCCCTGCAGCCGGGGCCGGGGGCTCTTTCCCTCTGCCATGTTCTTTGAAGACTTTCTGCCAGAAAAGAAACTACCCCATGACTCAGCCCAGCCCCAAAGTTACCATTTGTTTAAACAAGAGAGTTGGTTTGCAAAACATTAAACATTAAACAGTATCTGATGCCTTGTTAATAATTTGCATCCTCTTCATTTGTTCCTGAATCCTTGGAGACTGATATTCCCCCTGTAAAGGCACGACGAGAAATTGTATTTAGAGCAAAAGAAAGGTCCTTAAACTGCAGAGATGTTTGCCAGGACGTCTGATCTCCACATTCTGCTGCTTACGGTTCTGGCAGGGAAGACAGCCTTTGGGGTAAGTGTTCTTTTCAGATACCTGGGCTTGAGAGTCTCTGAGGTTATTAGGAAGACCAAACCAGCAGGGCCAGGAGCAATGAGAAATTTAGCTGTGAGAGGCTAGTGTTGTCAGGTTGAATATGTCTGATGACCAGAGCTGAGGCAGGCCTGGAATGGTTCCTGTTGAGCAGCCAATGCCACGAAGCCATGCGACTGATTTGAGCCTTCTTGGAACAGTCTCCATGGATGCCTTCCAAAGAAAGGGACAGGGACAAGAAACTCTGCTAAACAGTGGTTCGTGATCTGGTACAGGTCTCGGAGACCCCTTTGAGAAGCAAACGATAGCTACAAAGTCCCCTCCGCACATGCTGATACACACCCAGTTTTCCAGCCATTTGGGGTGACCCCAAGCTGAGAATCCTTGTGCTTTGGCCCTGGAGGAGAATTCTGCTGGCTGCCAAGGACCCTGGCAACAGGTTGACTTAGGTGCATTAGGTTTGGAGAGAAGCTCTGTGCGCAGTATATTGTTCTCCCCTAACCCCATGACCATGACTGTCCTGATTGTAGAGGTGAGCAGAGCCCAAGGGAGGTCGTAGTGAGCAGGGGAGGAGAGGCGCATGAGCGAGTGCTGCATGGGGAACTCAAGCCATTTGGGAGCAGATGAGCTGTGGAGACACCGGCTCTTGCTGTGAGCCTTTGCGGCCCCAGAGTGTCAGCTGGGTCTCTGTGGGCACATGAGTGGGACATTCAACAGAGAGAGAGCCTCCTGCCCTGGCTGCATGGATTAGTTGGTTGGAGAGTCATCCCATACACCAGAAGGTTGCGGGTTCAATTCTTGGTCAGGGCTCAGGCCTAGGTTGTGGATTTGATCCTCGGTCGGGGATGGGGTGGGGACACAGTCAAATGATGTTGATGTTTCTATCACACATTGATATTTCTCTCTCACTCCCTCTCTTCCTCCCTCTCTACAATTAAAAAAAAAATCAGTGAACATATCCTTGGGTGAGGATAAAAAAAGAGAGAGAGCCGCTGGGAGTTCCATGCTTTTGGAGGCATGAGGATGGGCTGTGGAGCTCAGACTGGAATCTCAGCTCTGCCACATTCTAGCTGCCGAATGTCGGGCAGGTGTCCGGATGTCTCAGAGCCCCAGTTTCCTCTACTGCAAACCACGTGATAATCTCTCACAAACTTGGGGAGGGTCAGGATTGATTAAATGCAGCAACCCCTGCGACATTCACTAAGCATTAGCTTTTCCCTTAAAATTTCTAGAATGGACCTGAGTTGTCTATAAAAATCAGAAAATGCACCCCTTTGTGGGGGCAGGGGCAGGGGCAGGGAATGAGCAGGGGATGAAGAATGAAGTAAGAGCCATAACCTCTTCATCTCATTAAATACATTTGCATTTTATTTTCCATTTTACTTCGTAGGGCTTTTCCTGCAGGAAACAGATCAAATGCCAGGTTTTCTGATTAGCATGCCTTAAAAGCAAACGGTCCCTCTTTTGGCAGACTGTATTCAGAAGCCCACCTTAGCCCTGTCTTCAGCTGCCAAGAGACTCACCTCTGAAAGACTTTCAGTTTCGAATGCCGACTTGCGTGTGTGTGGTGTGGCCACAATGACAAATTGTTATCAAGCTCTCTACATCGTTTCATTGCTTGTTGGATGTCTGGGGCCAAAACCCAGCAGAAATATCACAGGTCTAGAGAAAAGCAGTGGAAATTATCAGAGGCCCACAGGGGGTCCAGAGAAAGTACCAGTCAGAAAGAATTAGATCCTAAAGTTTGCAGGCAAGGAGACAGATTGATGCAGCCTGTTTGAAGTTCACAAAAAGATAATGGTCCCAAAAAATATCACTGCCTTTTTTTTTTTTTTGCAAGCCCCAGTGAATTTTTAGGGTTAGCAATGAAATTATAAGTCAATAATGGATAAAAGAGAAAATATGAGAGATAGCCTTCAGGCAATGAGCTTAGCCAATTCCAAGGAGAGGACGCGGGGCTTTGGAGTGTTTCTTACCCCAGATGTGTGCTAGACAGGTGGTCAGGAAGGCGGGCTGTGCTTCACAGGCCAGTGCACAGACATCCAGGGGAAAGTGGCCAAGTGGCTCAGATGCTTTGGAGAGTTCAGGGCATCATGGGGGGCGGGGACGCAGCCACAGAGCAGATGGGCTGGGTGGCCTCTCCTGCCCAATGTAGCTAAAAATAATAACCGACTGCTACCACTTAATGAGAAATCCTGTGTGCCAGGCTCTGTGCTTTCCATGGCTCCATTCATCTCTGGACGTACACTAAGAAGCAGGTCCTATTCTTGCTCGCACTGTATGGATGAGGAGCAGAGGAACTTGGCCTCAAGTCATACAGCTGCACAGCAACAGGACTGAGTTCTAGGGCACGGCTGGTGTCCATCTGTCTAGGCTAGATCTCTTGCCTGGACTCTGACTAAAGATAAGTTTTCTTCAGTCCATAAAGCTTCAGGGTCATGGTCCTTCCTGTAGGGACAGGAGGCTCGTAGACAAGGGGACTATTTAGTAGGTGGAGTGTCAAGGATCCCATGTGCCTCTGAAAATTGAAAGAAAAACAGCGACAGGGTCTGCAATTGCTGCCCATTGGAAAGACCCTGGATACCTTCCTGTGAACTCAGATTGTGTAGTGAATCTTATGAAGATACCTCTGCCTCATCTTCCACTCAAATTTTTTTTCTGGTATTTATCATGCAAAAAGGTACAGATCAAATACCATTGTGGTGGACACAGATCCATTCCTAGGGCCTTCCTGGTCTGCTCTAGATTTGGCTGTCCTTACCTCTCAGTTTCGAACACCTGTCCCCAGCACAGCCTTGCATTGTTATCCTTGTTTTATGGATAAGTAACAAGCCCAGAGGTGGTAGACCAACTTCTCAGCCAGGATTGGGACCCAGGTCCACCTGGCTCCTGGCACATTGATTTCTTTTTGGTTGCTTGTCAACATTTGAAAATCAGAACACTTCACATAAAAATACAAGTCTCTAGCCTTTCTTGAGAACCAGACATCCGAGTGACACAGAGTTCACATCCCTGCATGGCAGTGAGCAGAGAAACCGCTGCTCTTATTGTTAGAAGCTTAAGCCCCACCATTCTCTACTGTCAACACCCTTTCTGTTGGCCTGATGCACATTTTCTGCCTTGGAGACAGAGAGAGAGAGAGACAGAGACAGAGAGAGAGACAGAGATAAACAGAGAGGGAAACAGAGAGACAGAGAGAAAGAAATCTTGTCTAGTTGTTGTTCAGAAGCACCATGGGTGTTGAAGTATCGGGGCCCATTTTGGATGGTCAAGTAATGGGGTAGAGCCTCTGATTAATTCAAGCATCCAGGTCTTCATGGCCGCTAGGACAAAGAGGGCCTTGGACGGGAAGATATGAGCCACCTTGATAAAGCCTTGATGCTCTAGAGTGTCAGTCTCTTCGGGCTCAGGAGACAGCCCTCCCCTTTGCTGTAACTTACAGTCATGGAAAAGAGACGGACTGAATTACACGGCACCTTTCTTACGGGTGTTTTTTTTAACAGATCCTAAGCAGGAGCCCAGCTCGTTAGCTTCAGCAGCGTAGGCTGGTGTTTAGGGAAATCAGCTCGCAGGAAGGCGCCTGTGCATCCAGGCACAGTTGCAGTTATATTTTAAATTCATTAGGTTCCCCAAATGCAAAAGCCACTCTGCTGTCGCAGGGAGACAGCAGGGCAGAGTATTCGGCAGTGGGGATTTTAAATAAAACATGCCTTTTCTTCATAATTAATATAACAAGTTTTCCGGGCTTAGGACTTAGCAAAGATTCCACATTAAACAAAAAAGTTTCAGTGGGGGGTGGGGCTCTTAGTGTGACGTAACTGTGACTTGACAAACAAGTTCCAGGAAGAGCTTGTTGTGCTGAATGAGCTCTTCTCAATGGTTCCTCAATTTGCACAAGTAAATAAATAAATTTTTTTAAAAAATCAGTGCCTAATAGTCATAGTGATAATCATAACCACAACAACCATTTATGAGCTATTGTGTGCTTTATGTTTATGATGTCATTAAAGCTTCCCAGCAACCCTCTGAGGCAGGGACCACTGCTGTCCTTGTTTTCCAGAATGGAAACTAAGCTCTAGAGAAGTTAAATGGCCTGCTAGAGATGGCAGCTCTGGGACATTTCAGAGCTGGGATTCAAACCCAGGTCTGCCTGGTGCCAAGTCCTGTGCTCGTAACCACTGTGGTAGAGGTTGCCAAGCCAGGCACTACCCAAAAACAAATGGGACCATTCAAGGTGGCGTGAAAGTTGTCAGAAGTGTCAGTGGCCTGAGACTAGACTCGAGCATCAGGCAGGAGATGAAGTTACTCCTCCTCTAACCCAGAGGCTCCTTCAACAGTCCCTGAAGCTTCACTTGTCAACCCCAGACAGATCGAGTCTTGCCAGATAGCTAACCAGCTAGTTCAAGTGTTTTCAAAGCTTTAATCATGAATGAATCCACCTTCAGAAATGTTGTCAAAACCCAAACTAGTTTCTTAATACTTTTGTTAAACTGACTCACTTTTTCTCTAGCTAAATAGACGCATTTTTAAAAGGAAACTGTCAAAACTATAAATGAAAATATCAAAGAAGAGAAGACAAAAGGATGTCATTGAATTCTAACTGGTACAGTTTTCACCTAAAGCTCAGAGCCTGAAGCCTGCTTTCTCCTTGGTAGAAGGGGAGATGAGAGGTAGACAATAGAAATTTACCAGCACCATTGGGAGTCTTTCTTTGTGATGGGATTAGAAGGACTGACAGTAAAATTGAGAAGGAGATGACTTCCTCACTTGTGTTTTAAGGTTATGTCACATCCTGGCCAGGAGCCACCCAAGTCAGCTTGGGCGCCACCACAGGTTCACGTCCCACCCTGTGGGAAGCACAGACCTGAGGAGAACTTCGGGGTGGGGTGGTTCCTATCAGCGGGCAGATTCTTTTTTGAGCCCGTGGGCTGTTTGCTGAGGTTGGTTGGCCAGGAAAGCTAACGTTGGAGCTTGTGCCCGTG